ATCTAATGTGATTTAAAGCATTAATTATTCACAGGTTTCGCAAATTTTCGTCAATGAGTAAAATCACTGATTAAACGCATGTCAACATGTTGAATAAAATGGGAACTCACTGTTTCTCTGCAAAGTTTGTGAATTTAAAACCAAGTGAGGGTGATCGGTGTTTTTACTAAGCGAGCAAGAGGAAAAAAACAATAAAAATTTGGTCGGTTTCCAATCAGAAAATACTGTGCGATCTAAAATTAAATTAAATTAATTAAAAAGTGGGAAGATGGGCGAAATGAGTACTGTTGTTGAAGCGATGTTAGCTTATTTCTAATTTCGTTTTAACTTGTACAATATCTATTCACTCATTGTTAACTATAGCTAGAACGCTTCACTTTCTCGCAACCAACAACATGATTTTAAATTTGGGATTTCGAGAAACTCAACATGAATCGTTATGGCATTCATACGCACAACACCTCACCATGTTTCAACTTTTAAATTGTCAGTTAACAAGGTCTTTCATAGTAGCACTTCTATGGGATTGACGTACTAAAATGAATGGGATCAATTATCAGTTTTCACTGATGACATCATTGACTGGCCCCCTAGAGGCGAAATGACGCCAGGCAAAACTGGCATTTGTCGTCTACTTCACAGCCCGCTTTATACTGGATATTGAGGGCAATTTGCAGCACATACAAGTTGTTTTTATCGCCAGAATTCATTCATAGAACTCAAATTTCATGTACAGAGTGACAAAAGCCAGACCTCTGCTGCCCTTTAAATCAGTATTTATAGTTAACATTGTTATAATTCCTGTGAGTTAAATACTAAGTTTTCATCGTTTCAGTAGGGTGATCGTAAGTCTATATCTCCTAATGTCCAACATGGTGACGACATTTTTTACCACAAAAATGCATCTTGGAATGTTTCACAGGTTTATTTTGTACATTGAATTAGAAACTGAGAGTATTTTATGAGAGAACTATGATAGTTTAAACATGTATTCAGTTATTTGAGGTCGTGTAAAATGCAGCCTTCTGTCAATGTAAACTTTTTGAATTAATAGTTTGCATGATTCTATTGTGTGGCTTTCGAAATCGCTTTGCGATTTCATTCTAGAACTCAAGATTAATAAAACAGTAATCGTCTTTAAACTTTTGTGGACTAGTTTCCAAGCTTCTGGTGTCACTCAATTTACTTAATTTTGCATTAGAACCTGGGTTGCAATGTAATTCTTTTAATTTTCCGGTGTTTTTTTTTTGTGTCCTTTAATTGTCCTGACAATAGGGGTGAATCACTGAGCAAGTCTACCATGCACAGAAGTGGACATTGCCCCATATAGCCAGGGTCATGGAATCTATGCATAAATTTGCATGAAAGGTGATAGACCACGGGCCATCAGTGGTCGGATTTCTTACTCCCCCCCCCCCCGACTACTAATTATGATATCACAAAATTTTTCTTTCTAGCATACTTACAGTCCGTCAGACTTGCTACCCCAGCAAGTGTGGTAATTGGTACACTTGGTATTTCACCATTCATTTTACTTCTTTTGCAGATTTTCAAAGTTAATAATGATGACAAATCTAGAAAGCAGTTAAAAAATGGAAGATTTTAGACATAAAGGCATAAATTGACTTATGACATGTCAATGGCATAGAATATTGCACTTGTACTTGTGCCATTGGGATATATATTATACTAGTATACTGTAAAACACAATGAAATAGCTACATGCCATTTTAGCGAATTTGACTCTATAAATGAAGTAACAAAATCTTTATTTCGCTAAAATGCCAACAATTTCATTGTGAAAATATACTTTATTCTAAATTAGCCACATTTTGAATTAGCGAAACTACAGATTCGCTAAATTAGCTAAAAAGACACGTTTTACAGTAGTTAGTCAAATACAATGCCTGGTTTTATTGCTAACTCTGGTATTTATCTTCAGACCTATAAAGATAGCTTGCCAGTGTAGTGAATCAACCACTAAATTATTAGTCATTCATGAAGGGAATATTCTATCCATCTGTCCATTTTTGCAAGGCAATCCAATGAGGTCACTGTGTCACAATGCACATATACATGTTGCTGTCAAGGTTTTTTCACGCACAGATTGACACATATATAAATAAAACAATAAATGCTCATATAACTGACATGATAATGCACAAAAAATACCGTATTTGTTATATTAGTAGCGCATATGCTTAGGAAAATACTGATGTGGTTCTATGCTAAAAATAATGATTCAGAGTATTTAATTTGGGTTTATGTGCACTTCTATTGTAGATGCGCTTCTAATAGAGAAAATACAGTAATGTTGTAGAGTAAATTGACATCCTCTGAAAATTACCAAGGATTTTTTTTCATTTTTAAACGTTCATAATCCCTAGAAAGAAGGGTTGCAATAGATGTATAAATTCCACAATTGACATATATTCAAATAACAATGCATGACATACATAATTTATTATTTGATTCATAATACAGTATAATCATGGATTTTTGTTAAATAGGAATGGCAGACCAATAAATAAATATTGTTATAAAATATAAATTATGAACTACTTAAATCCAATATCCCGCTGTTTAGATACAGTAAATTTTTATATAAGCTGGATCAGAACTTGATATGTTGATCAAAGAAAACAATAACACGGCTACAACTTCAGCATTGATAGGGCTTCCAGTTTCAAAGCCAGATTTGATAACATTATTGATGTCTTCTGTATCACAACCTAAACTGACTGCGTCTGCAACCAAGCGATGGGTAATTACCAACTATTCTGACTGCAAATATACCAGGTTTCTCAGACTACTTTGTATTTTTGCAGTTCATTAAGGTAGAACATGCATAAAGAAGTAGAATTATGAACACCACAGATGAATGATTGATGCAATAAAAATTCTAATGCTTATTGTTAATGCTACCCAATTAGTAGGTATCCTTGCCAAGGTTATTAGAGTCAATACTACAATAGCTCTAATTAATTGGGTGTCAACACTGCAATACTTCATGTGTACGACCAATAGTGTTCTCACCAGGAATTAAATACGTGGGGTGGAATTGTTTAGAAAGTATGAGACAACTACAGACAGAAATGAAGTATTTTGTTTCCTTGTAGTGAAGACAGTTTACTCAAATTGTTTTGTTTTAATTTTATTCTACCTCATAGAACAAATCTTACACATTATACAATGTTTTGCACAGAATGCCAAATGAAAATGCAATAAACTGAAAATTCAGCCATCATAGTTATTTTCTGTCATTCTGTGCTTTTTCAAAAGAAAATTATATTAACACATTTTTTTTCCCTCTAAAAATTGTCATCCTTATTTCAAACTTATCTGTGTCAGAAACATAATGCTAAAACACCGATTCAACAATCACTACATGTACACTCTAGGCCAAGAAAAAATGTTTCAAATTGGTCAATTAGTCTATTGATGATTTGTCATGAAAATTTATTTTACTTTCTTATTTTCAAAACTTTTAAAAAAAACTAACGTAAATGCGCAATATTTGTTTAGAGCCTTAAACATACAGAAGAAAAAAGAAGAAGATAAGAATGAATGCTGATTGATGTGATTCAAGGAAGCCAACAGGAAAACAGACAATATAATGTAAAATAAGATTGATCAAAAGGGCAGTAATTTTTTGCGAAATATAAAATGTTTCCTTATATCGATGAAAATTACAATGGTTTTTACTGTTTATTGACTGAGTAAAGTAGATTACAGGCAACATCTGATTCTACGGCATTGTATGCACATGACCTAAATATTAATACACGTTGCACACACATAAACAAAGCTGTGAAATGGTTTAGTTTGGCTCAAATATGTTGTTTATAACAAAAAAAAACATATTTGGACAAGGATGCTGTTTTGTCCAGGTTTCCAAAGTTTAAGATGTAAAATTGCCAAATGCTGTGACCTGTTTAGTAACATGAAATATGTCATTTGTATAACAGTTTTATTCAGCAATTCAGCAAAATTCACTTACAAAATTTACTGATATTCATCTTATTTTTTAATTAGTCTAGCTCACTGCCTGGACAAGTCAATGCTTCAAATAGAAATGTGGATGACTAAAATTTAGTACAATGGCCAAGGTGAACAACTTGGCATACAACTTGGCAATGAATAGCGACATTGACATACATACATCAAGTTGCATGTAAATAGAATAAATTAAAGGGCTTGAATTTGAATATGATTTTGCTAAAAACTAATTCGATGGGCACTAAGGCAAACTCAAGCACTAAAATAAATTTAATTCAGTACTGCTGAAGAATTCATCTGGAGGGGGCTCAAACAGAATTTTTTGCAAATGCCAAAGGATTTTTGTAACATTTATTTAATAAATAAATAGCAGTGTTCTCCCCACATAGAACAAAGCATGGCGGCACCGCCATCTTGGCGACCCAGCCGCCACGCTTGGGCTTGGACCGCCATGCTTACAACTTCACCGCCATGCTAATAGGATGCATTGTTTACGTCCATTTGACCCGCTCACACGTAGCACTGCATAAATTATCACCGTCTACGCCACGGCGGTTTGAACTTGCCGGGACAAATTAAACAGTCCCATTGTTAAACACGTGTGAAGTACAGACGCTGTCAATGGGGAACAAATTGTCACTCAAGTTGCAAACACCGAGATGCTATATGACAAAACATGTAAAGGAATAAAAGGTGATGCCGCCCGGCTAAAACATACAATCACCGCTAGCACAGCACAGAAACGGAAGCGTGTAGAAACACGGAAACGGCGTGAGGCTGGTTTTCATGAGTCGTGGAAAAAGACATTTCCCTGGTTAAGGTCAATTGTTCAGGTAAGATTTCATAATTTTAGAAATAAAATGCCAGTGTGTGTATGTTTTGTCGATCGTAAGAATACCAAACATGGTAGGCCTACACCGATTTCAATCAACATCTTTGACACGAGGCTGGTATAGACACAACATGAAAAAAAAAAACATCACTCGTTACTGTCAACTTTTTTT